AAGTCAAGCAGTTTAAGCAGAATCGTGATTACTCAATGGTCATATTTTATGAAACACCCTGTATAAATTTTTAAAAAATCTTAAAATATGTAAAACAACAAAATAAAATATACGTGTTTAGGAGTTTTTCCGAAAAACTCACCGGTTTTTAAATAAAAAAAATATTTTAATATTTGAGGGATAGTTTCACCCCCTTAGAATTCGAGTTTCGAAAAATCCCTTCTTATCGAACCTCTACACCCTAAAGTCAATCCGTTTTCCAAAAATCAGCTTTTTACGTCAAGCGCTTTAAGCAGGATCGTGATTAATCAATGACCAGATTTTTCGAAACACCCTGTATACATTTTTAAAAAATCTTAAAATATGTAAAAAAACAAAATAAAATATACGTGTTTAAGCGTTTTTTCGGAAACTTGACCGTTTTTTAAATAAAAAATATTGTAATATTTGAGGGGTGGTTTCACCCTCTTGGAACTGGAATTTCGAAAAATCCCTTCATATCGAACATATAAGCAGGATCGTGATTAATGAGTGTGTCAGTCACTTAAGGATTTTATATATTAGTATATATTGTATTGATACAGATGTCCATACTATACAGGGTGTCCCAACATTCAGTAGACATAGCATAGAACTACTACGTTTTTGGAATTAAACTATTGTGTATTATACATTGGTTACAATAAGAAGGTCGATTATGTCAAAAAAAAATTAAAAATAAATTAAATCTAATAACTAAGAAGGTAAATAAAATAAATTTCGTAGAGATCGTTGAAAAATAATCAAAATACAGAACCACATGATGCACAGTGCCACATGATGTGGCAAACATCTTCCAACGTTGGACACATGAACATTTGCCACATCGTGTAAAATTCGGAGACTTTTCAATGTCCCGTCTCGAGTCGGTAAAGATTAAAGTGTCTATGTTTTGTTCGTATATTTTGCGACAAGTTGTCGGCGCAGTGTGGATGGCGTGTGCTGCCAACTGTAGGAGACCAGTAAAATCACACATCGTCGGTGAAATGTGGCATGAACTCCATTATTTCTAATTTTACAGAAGAGCAAAAAAACGGTACAAAAAAATATGTACACATGTAGGAAGTATTTTCATGCGTTAATATGATAAAGAGATAAGAATTTTATTTGATGGGGTGCAATAAAACTCAATATTTCGTGTTACATAATTTTTTTCAGACACAATAGGGAGATAGCAGATATTCGTCTTGTAGAAATAAGAAATAAAAATATACTTCTGGAGATAGCAACCTTTATTGTTTGAAATTTTGAAAATGGAATTGAATATTACCCAAACAGATTTAGAAATAATGAATTAAATTTAAAAAATATGATATTCATAACCATATATTTAGAATATCGTCGGTCTAGAAGCAAAACATATAAGTCCAAAAAAGAATAAATTTTTAAAGAACTGAAGTAGCAGCATTTTGGACTTAATGAATATGAAAATAATTTAAAAATTAAACTTAAAATTCTTAGAAGATATAGTAAAATCCTTCCATGCTTATCCTAATTTTTGTATAACGGTAGTAGACCGAGCTTGAAAAACAGTGAGTGATTTTTATTATTTCTCTCCTTATTTTTTTAATTTTTATAAAAATTATGTATCATTTACGTGGAAAAACGTTGAAAAAAATAAAACTGATTAGGTATTATGGAAATTCTTGTACAACTAACTAATGTTATTTAAACTATTTATAACACGCCGATGAATTGCTCGTATATAGAGATTTTCGTTTTTCCCCTTACCCTTTACGGATACCCCGTATTTACAGAACGGATCGACGCAGGGTCGGACTGGCCATATTATATATATAACTATTAGGGGGGCCCCAACCTTTGCGGGCCCCCTTTATAGTTCATTATTTATTATTAACAATAATTGCTTTTGCATTGCATTATGGCATTTGCATTGCATTGGTTTGCCTTGCATTAGGGTAGTTCCCTGATTTCTACACAGGGCGAGTCTTAAATAAGTGCAAATATTTTCAGGGCTTGTAAATATCGATAAAAGGAACATAATATTTTCTCTTTGTCGTTTTTTCAAATAAATCCAAAACAACCGAGTTATTTCACTTTTAAAATTTCCAATTTTTTGCTATAATTTTGAGAATCATTGGATTTTCTTTCTTGTAAATTTAATCTACTACCTATCTTGCTACATTACAAGCAAAATATGTTTTAAACTAACAATTAAAAAAAATATTAATTTTTTCTTTAAAAATTCCAAATTTTCAAAAAAAAAATTCGCGCAAAAAAACTCATAATCGTGTTTGTTGGGTCGAAATATACTACCCCTAAAAATATTTGCTCTTATTTAAGACTCACCCTCTATACAATAGGGAAAAATTAACTAAAACGTAAGGCAAAAAAATACGCAAAAAAATCCACGCGGGCCCCTCCTTACATTGCCACCCGGGTCCCTTTGGCCTAGTTCGACCTGGATCGACGTACTGTACAAAAGAAACATACGAATAAGAAACCGTGTGTTTGCTTTAGCGTGATCGTAACGGAAATTACGGAGATAGCAGCATTTCGGTGGCTATTTCCGATCATTGGGAGTTAGCAGATTTTATCGAGTTAAAATAGCAAATTTTCTTTAATGGGAAAAATGTATTTGCTTTCCCTATTTATAGAGTATTTTTTTCTCTTTCTAATGGTATAAAAAACTTATTAACATAAAAAATGCAGTTAGCAGGTTATCACCTTTCACTGACGACATGGTTAATAAAACTCATTCGCAATAACTAAACTTTTGACTTTGTCTCAAGTTTGTCTTGTCAGAAGTCTCCATTTTTTGTGACAAGTTTGTCTTGTTTTTGTCTCAAAATCGGGTTTATTTTTTGTAACCTTGGTCTGGACCCGGCATTAGACGCATCGTGTAAGACCGGCTTAAGTAAATTTTCCATACCTCTTAAAGTATTTGAGATACCTTATTAAATTATCGGGAATTGACCACATAAAAAACCGTGACTATTAATAATGACAGAGGAAGTCAGTAGACCGCATATTATTATTATTGTTGTTGTTGTGCCTACATTATTATTATTAAATTACCACAGAATAAAAACATCTCAAAGGCCGATTTGGCATTGAAGTAGCACGACAACAAAAAATCATATCGTTCAATCCTTTCAGCGTTTAGTTACGCGTCACTGAAATTAAGGAGGTGCACAAATATCGATTCATCTGACATTTTGACAATATTATGTCAGCTTTTGACATTATTCCTTAAAATAATTGTATTTTATTTAAATTTCAATATAAAATGCAATGGCTGTAACATACCAAATTTAATTTTTCTGAATTAAAACTAAGAAATCTGATATTTGAAAATATTCATTCATTCGTCGATATCGATATTTTACAAAGTATCAAAACAATATATCGATATTTTTTTCGAAAATGCCCATCCCTACGCTGAAACGAACCGTTACCAAATGAAAAATATTTCTCTATTTACGACTTAAGTAATTTATTTCGTTTTGAATACCATTCGATCGGTTTCTATTTTTAATACCGCAGAACGGGTTACCGATGAAAGAGTTTAAATCTCCTTAGAAACGAAATTAACAGAGAAAAACCGCCTTTCCATTTCACTTTCCAAGGCGCACACATCATAAACAATACGGAGATTATGTTTTGTTGTGTATTATGTAACAGTTACTCACTAAAAAAAATTATTTACTCATACAAAAATACAAAGTACTTTAAAAACAACTTACATAATAAATAAATGAACATTAGGTAACATTTTCACTATATTTCTGATGTAGTGACAGACAAGATCTGTATTGATTGTCAATATTTGTGTATGACATACATATTATTTACTTATACACATATACAGATACATATTATATACATATAATACATAATATTTCATTCATTTATGTGCAAAGAATATTACTACCGATTATCAATGTAAAACAACTAACAATTCAACAAGTTTGTCAGATAGTTATCTAGGACTGGAAGCTCAAAACACAGTCCTATATATTTATTCCGCCTTCTAACTGTTCTTACATCAAAGTTCTAACTTCTAACTTATTCAAACAACAACTAAGTTCCATTCCTAACTTTGCTAAACCTAAATAATTCATTCTCGACAGGTACGTATCATTTATTATAGTCCAAAATAAAAACATTAATATTAAAGAGCTGTTATTTTTGTAGGTGGAAGCTATATCACATTCCTTTGCCCTGACTGTACCTCTTAAATCGATAAAACACGTCATTATTTTTCACTTATTGTTTAAATCATTACAACTAATATATTTTTATCACTGTTTGTTTGTTTAGTTGCTAGAACCTGTTGTAAGAGCTTGAACAATGTGAAAATGACTTCTGATATGACTTTATGATCAATTGGTATCATTATCTGTGAACATTATCACTCCCATAATCTTGGTCAAGGTGAAAGAAATTAGATGGCTTTTAACATTCCTTATTTATTTGATTTAATTGTTAGAATGATGAAGAAAGAAGTATCACATGGTAAAATACTTTTTGAAACTAGGGTCTAATATCTTGCGTAAATATTTTAGATGAAGAAATAGTAAACAACTACCTATACTTATTTACTCGCTAGTATCTATGAGAGAATGTAGCATAATAAACATGCCAATGCCAATAAAGTAGTTGAAACACTTTTATTGATATGATAAAAATTATAAGATAACAGCTATATATGAACCATAAATAACGTTATCAATATATTAGCTAGTAAATGAGTAATAGTGCAAAATAAATAAAGAATTTTACTCACAGTTCTAGTAAATTTACAGTTACCTATATGCAAATGTTTAAAACAACCTTTCAATGGTTTAACCTTGGATAATAATGATAGTATAATCCTAAGGGTATAATTAATAAAAATAAATTTAAATGTCTAAAAATAATGTCCCCTCTTTATTTGTGATTTGTTTCAAATCCAAACATATTATTTAATATGAATTTATAAATATATCAATACTTACCATTACGAGATACATCCAGCTCAACTAAATGCTCAAAATTTTGAATGTCTGGAGGTAGCCTTTGAATTTCATTATCACTTAAGCCTAATTTCCTTAATCTTTGGAGCCGAAAGAAATTCTGAAAAATAAAGGACTATCAAAATCTTGGGTATACCAAATCTTGTTCTGCAAAACTACATTGTTTTCAGTTATACAGCAAAATGTAACAAATATCTATAGAGTTTGCATTTATTGCATTTTGACTGAGGAACATTTTAGAAGTTGTAATACAAATGAAATCGTTTAGTTATTATGATACTAACCTTTGGAAGATCTCTGATATGATTAGCATCGAGTAAAAGTTCTTCTAAACTCCTAGAATACCGCAAAATATCCTCTGGAACATTGGGAAGAGAACTGTGCCTCTTATCAATATAGTCAATTTGCCTGTTACAGCCTTTAAAAATTGGAATACACCGAAACATCGCGACTAGCTTTTACTCGGGTGCATATTCAAAATTAATTGGTCAAAAGTATTCACTGAAACTGCCACTATAATAAATATTTTACAGAAAACACGAAAATTTATCCCGGAAATCGTACAGTCACCAATCCAGCAACACTCGAACACCACTCCCGCTGTACTGTAAATGAAAATTCCCTAGAGAAAACATGAAATATGTCAAACGTCAGGGGTGCCAACTTTATTTTTAGATTATTCTACCTTGATTCGTTTCTATGAAAGGGTCATGTCTGTCTTTGTCGTTATTGCGGTTTTCAAAAGAAAAAAATGACTAGAATTGTAATTCTATTACATAAAAACATTTAATATATTCATAGATATTGGCAAAATTAGTGTGTCGGTTTAATTAGACGCTAAACAATGTATTATTAAATGGATTTCTCTAAAATTAATATTTTCTTTCTCTGTTACTCTTTACACGCGAATAAAGGGAAGGAAATCATTAGTGATCTTCAAATGTCAAATGTATTGTTGGTTGTCAGCATCTGACATATTTTGACGTTTGTTTTGCATTTTTATGGGCGGGGGCATATTTTGATTAAAAATCTACATATTTTTATGAAAAAAGTATTATTATTATTTGTTAATGGACATTTTATATACAAAATAGAGTAACAGATAAAAACATACAGTGTAATAGAACGATCACCAAGTTATTGATCCTTTATTTTTACTATGAAATTTGGCTTTCACAGAAGCATATAAGAAAGAAGCCAAAATGTTTTATATATAATATTTAACAGCATGAGCCAGGCTAGTAATTACTTCCCAGATCAAGACAATATGTTGGAAGCGGATAGCTCGAGTGCTTTAGAGCATGGCAAACAGAAGAAATTCAGTTCAGGTTCATTGAGTGGAGATATTTCTAGGCCAAAAGTGGTGACTGTTAAGCATCCAGAATCGAATAAACTAAAACCGACTGCTAAAAAGAACAAACAACCCATTCAAGCTGATCTAGACGTAGCAAAGGAGTTTATACGATGCAAGGAGGAATGTTTAAAAAGACTAGATTTAAGTAAATCAAACATTACGCACTTGCCTCAAACTATAAGAGATTTAAATCACTTATCAGAATTATATTTGTATGGTAATAAGATAGTACAGTTGCCAGCTGAAATTGGTTGTCTTACTAGTCTTCAAATGTTAGCATTAAGTGAAAATTCTTTGACTAGTCTGCCTGATTCTTTAGAGAATTTGAAAAATTTAAAAGTATTAGATTTGAGACACAATAAATTAAATGATATCCCTGATGTTGTTTACAAGCTGACTTCTTTAACAACATTATATCTTCGATTTAATAGGGTGAGGTATGTAGGAGAGGAAATTGCTAATTTAACTGCACTAACAATGCTGAGTTTGAGAGAAAATAAAATTAAAGAATTGCCTGCTGGTATAGGATGTTTAGTTAATTTGCTTACATTTGATGTTTCACATAATCACTTAGAGCATTTGCCTGAGGAGATAGGAAATTGTGTGAATTTATCAACATTAGATCTTCAACATAATGAATTGTTAGATATTCCAGAATCTATTGGTAATCTTCAGCAGTTGACTAGACTGGGACTGAGATACAATCGATTAGCTCACATACCAGCAAGTTTAAGTAAATGTCATGAAATGGACGAGTTTAACTTGGAAGGAAATGCAATTTCACAACTACCTGACGGCTTATTGTCAAGTTTAAACAAACTACGAAGTATTACATTGTCAAGAAACAATTTTTTAGCCTTTCCATCTGGAGGTCCATCTCAGTTTACTGATGTGGATTCTGTAAATTTGGAGCATAATCAAATAGATAAAATTCCTTATGGAATATTTTCCAGAGCTAAACATTTAACAAAATTAAATATGAAAGAAAACCAACTTACTTCTCTGCCGTTAGATGTTGGAACATGGGTTAACATGGTAGAATTGAATTTAGGCACAAACCAGCTCACAAAATTACCTGATGATATACAGTGTCTTCAAGCTCTAGAGGTTTTAGTATTATCAAACAATCTTCTAAAGAGAATTCCACCAAATATCGGAAACCTTCGTAAGTTAAGAGTCTTGGATTTGGAAGAGAACCGTTTAGAGCAACTTCCCAATGAAATAGGTTATTTAAGAGAACTACAAAGACTTATAGTACAGTCTAATCAGCTCACCCAACTTCCACGTGCCCTCGGTCATCTGACCAACCTAATATTCCTTAGCGTAGGAGAGAACAATCTCAGCTATCTTCCGGAAGAAATTGGTACTTTGGAAAATCTAGAGTCTCTCTATGTTAACGATAATCCCACTCTTCACAATTTACCTTTTGAATTGGCGCTGTGTTCAAATTTACAAATCATGAGCATCGAAAATTGCCCCCTCTCTCAAATTCCAGGTGAGATTGTAGCGGGGGGTCCATCATTGGTCATCCAGTACCTAAAAATGCAAGGACCCTACAGGGCGATGTGATCAAGTTATCCAGAGGATCTTTAGTAGTAAGATTCATAAATTTTGTAATAGTATGAGAAATATTGATGAAAGTTTATGAAATGTTGCTGTTTATGACTTTGTTGATGAGTCTATACTTAGTATGAGTTTTTATGTATCTCATCTATTTGTTATACAGGGTGTTAACTCTTTTTTGTGTAGTTTCTAAATGGCGTTTTGATATTAATGCTTATTATTGATGTAAATATCCTGTGTGTTGGATGTTTGTTTTCTCAGTCAATAAGTGCAATAGTTTTAATTATTGTTTAAAAGTATTTTAAATAATATGCAAAAGCCCCGTATTTGTAACCTATTGCAAAGTATATTAAACAGTTAAATTAATGAATGACAGTGATATGAAAATGAGATAAAAGTATTTTATAAATTACATACTTTGATATTTTTGAAAGAGGTATTATATTTATTTCAAAATAAATTAAAAAAATAATCATTTTCTAATATCAATATTTTTTTAACTCATCAGTCTGAGGTATTTATTTTTATTGGCTACGTTGTGGCATTGCTTTTATACATAAGTCTGTAACTTTGAGAACTGTTTTTACCTGTTTTTATTTATTAAGTAGGTAAAATATCTTATTGTTTCAAATAAATCATGCTTTGCCTCCAAAAATTGTTTCTAGATTTACTTCGATAATTGTTTAGTTATCAGCCAAAACTAAAAACGCACAATATTAACGTGAAACCTAAACGTAAGTTGTATGTATAGATAGCTTTTGCTTTGTTTTGTAAAAACCGTTTAGAGGACGTGGTGTTAGAAACATTGGTGATTTATTTTTGAGCTGTGTATTGTTTTTAGTAACGCTTAACGAAACGGTGTTATAATCGAAAAGGCTTTGGACATTAACAATTAAAAAGTTTCTAATGTTTAAATTATTTTTGAGTTGTCTATGTCTAAAGCTCAATCGTATATACATATTTGTTGCTAATAATGTTAACTGTATATTAGAGTGTAATAATCTATTGCTCCATAATGAGATACGTAAGTATATATTTTTATTTTGTGGTGTGATAAAATGACAAAACAAAAATATTTTGATAGAATAACTGAGTTGATATCAATTTCAAAAAAAATTGATCTAGTTCAAAACGAGTGCGTATCTACTTCAGGAAAAAAGAATAAAATTTTTACTTTTTTTGTGTAAATAATTTTGCCTTTTTTTTCGATTCTATCATGCATAATTACTAGTACGCCATTGGTTAATAAAAACCAGTGGCGTATACTTTTTTCCCTAAAAATGTTTCTATGTATAATTGAACATTTACCATTATAAAATAATCTGAAGATTTACCTTGTGATGTATTTTAAAAAATCAACATTTCAACAAGATCTAAGCTATTTGTACGTAGGTCTATAAATAGGCGTCATATTCTCTCTATAACATGTGATACGATTATTAGAGATTGTTTTGTATTAATTCTAAACAATTTAACGAATTGTTTTAGGTATAGTATTGAAAAAATACTATAATGCAGATAAATTTATGTAATGACTGTAAATTTTTTAATTTCAATGCATTTATGTAAACAAAAGGGTAGCATTTTCTTGCTGAAAATTGAAATAAAAAACTTTATTAAGTGTTATTGTAATTGTTTGCTATAAATATATACTGTATTTTATTGACACTTTGTTTTTGTTTAAAAAATAAGGCCTATTAACTTTTATTATTTTTTCACTCAACTTTTCATGTTTTATCAAAAGGGGTATTTACAATTATTAAAGTTTAGAAAATTTAAATATTCAAAGAATTACAGAATAGACTTTTCTGTGGAAATACCTTGTTTTGAGTTTAGAGGTTGTTTGTAGTTAGAGGATTTACCACAATTTGAACTTATAACCCTTTTGCGTCATTTTAAAATCATATTTTCGTGTTGTTTATATGTATATAATCATTTATAAATAGCATATCCTTCCAAATATTAATCCAACATTTATCAGGTGTTATTGTTAATTGTTTTAATATAAATATGATATTACTGTACAGGGTGTCCCAAATTCTAGGATGAATATTTCGCATTTTATGTCTAGTAAAATGACATTTTGAAATTTATTTTTTTTTTAATTCTTTCTGAAGATATTCGAAAAAAACAGACATATTTTAGAATCGTTTTAAATTATTTTCTTGGCCTTATTAGAAAAAATGAAATATTTTTAATTTTTTTCTATTTTGAGGTGCTGTTGAATCACAGTCAACAAAACTTTTTAAATTATGAAGGCTTCTATATGTATACAGGGTGTTCCAATATTCCGTGGACATAGAACTACTACGTATTTTTTGAATCAAAATAAGTTCATTGGACACAATTTATGCCTCTATACAATAGCGGAGTAAGTGGATCGACGAGTAGCGACAGAAACCGTCGGCTCTTTTGATGTGGTGGGACCAAATTTTCTTTCTCTTTTGACGTGTTTGACAGATAGACTACCTATACAATAACTGGTCAACTTATGAAGTGGTCCTATAAACATGGTATACACTGCTCATAATTTGAAGTGACATTAATTATAAAGTTTTATACATATTTTTTTTTGTTTTGTTAAATCCCTATTTCTAAATTTGAATGTATAAAATATCTTACAGCTAATAAATAATTAAAGAAATGATTCGTTGCCTGAGGCATGCTTGAAATAGAGTATATAGAGATATTTGATAAATGGCAACAGTGGCAACTTCCCTTCTTCATATGACAGATAGACTACCTATTTCGCGCAGCCGCAGCCGCAAAGAAAATTGAAAACCGGACTGTCGCTACTCGTCGGTTTACTTACTCTGACAATAGTGCTTCGTTTGTCCGTTAGAGGGCATCAAACTTTAAAAAAAAACACACATTCTTTCAGGGCGCATCCACACTATCCTAGAAACGGCGTATCGGCGTAACGACCTTGAATCGATTTCCAACAATTCTATTGGCTGAAAAATTCATCTGAAATTTTATCTGTCAAATTCATCTGTCAAAAATTTCAGCCAATAGAATTACAGGAAATCTATTCAAGGTCGTTACACATTTTAAGAACCGTTATTCCGTTTTGAATCAGATTTTGGGTGTCTATGTTTTGTTAAGTGCTTTAACATTTGACTTTCACAAAAATCTTTATTTTAACAGACGAACACTTTTATATAGAGGTAAATTGTGTCCAAGGAACTTATTCCAAAAATACGTAGTAGTTCTATGTCAAAATAAAACACTAAATCACCACAATACACCAAAATACTTTTACTTTTACACTGGACGCGCGTTTCGCTAATGTTAGCATCATCGTCAGCAGAAGATTAAAAACTAAAAACTACAACCAAACTTTCCAGTGTAAAAGTAAAAGTGTTTTGGTGTATTGTGGTGATTTAGTGTTTTATTTTGCTGTGTAACACCAAAGGTTCCAACCCAAGAACGGTAAACTAATAGGATTGCTCATCCTCATAAGACGTACGTTCGCCTCTTCCCGCGCTTCAGCTGACAGTTGTGATGTCATTGTAGTTCTTGTCAAAGCCTTGTCATGATAGTATGTATTATTAGTTGCCTATGGTAAAAAATAACAGCTGAGAAATTTTGAGTTAATTATTTTGTCAATTTTAAATGTGAAAAAGGTGTCTTTAAAGTTTTTAGAGCTTTAGAGTGTATAAATACGTTCATTTTGTGTTGTGGATTGTGACAAAGTGCTTACTAAGTGCCCACGATTTTGTTTATTAATTATTTTAAAACAAAATATGGAAGTACTCTAAAAAGAATGCTTGCAAAAGGTTTTGATGGGAACTGCTGTTCTTAAAAATGCCTTATCCGAGTATTTAATACGATTTATACAGTTAATTTTCTATACTGCATAGATATAAGGTGTTTAAATAAATAAACTAAATAATAAAAGTTTTGCATTCGGCAACCAATAATGCATGTGCGTGTATTATTGGTTGCCGGATAAGGACTAATAACCATGACAAGGACTACAATGACGTCACAAAGCGAGTAGTTTTCGCATGCACCTGGCGGACGCGGACACTTTTGGCTGAATGAGCAGTCCTATTAGGTTAACTGTTCTTGTTTCCAACCCCCAACTGTAATAATAATTCTATGTCCCCAGAATATTGAGACACTCTGTATATAATAATGATTGCAAAACCCGCGCAGTTGGTTTGGAAATGATGATTAGTGACAAAATTTTCAATTTTATTATTTAAATGACAATCATCTTCATTTCAGACATCCCTCATGTTTTTTTTTCAGTCGTGTTGTAGAACGATGCAGCGGTATTTATTTTAAAATATCTTTTTTCGATTTTGAGACACTCCGTATTTTATCGGCATTGTATATATTTTTGTTGATTTAGTAAGAGGTCAGATTTTAAAAGTTGACCTCTATATTTGCGAATTTTTTAAATAAAAAAAATTAATATGATCCTTGGGGAAGTTAGTATTTTATCAAAAAGACATTAAAAATTTAAAAATATAAACAAACACCATTTTAATGGGAGACGTGGTAGATATAAGATATTTGTCGTTAATGTGATTTAACCAAATATAGCACTTATATGACCCCTGGCGCGTCACGGAATAATCAACTATTTTAAAGTCAGCGTCTCACAGCACTGTTTTCTCTAAGCACCGTTCAGTTTTTCTCAGTAACTGATTCAGTCCGTTTAAATCCAAGTTAGAGCTTATCAACAAAGGATTTAAAAATAATCACATTGTTGACTAATATAAGCGTTCAAAACAAAATGAATAGCGATATTTTCTTGGTAAGTTTTCTTTGTTCCTCATTAATATTTTAATTTTTTATGCGTAAAAATATTATTTTAGATAAAATTAACACTTCTATCGTGTTTCTTGTTAATTTCTGGAAATGCTATAGATAAAATAAATAGTTTAGACCCACCACCACATGGAGAAATAGCCTTAATGGCTAGATACATTGTTCATAACACTGGTAACAACTTTTTAATTAAATACAAATCTAGCATTTATTCAAATTCATATTTTTTAAGGTTGGGTATCTGTAGCTACGATCTCTACACAAAAATCTATCTTAGGATATCCATTTGTAAGTTTAAAATCATTCTGCGATGGACCTGTTGACAACTCTACAGGAATTCCGTATTTTTATATGACCAGCATGGATGTATCTGGTAAAGATTTAGATGTAAGTTTTTTCAGAGATTCAGAGAAATTATTTCAATATAACAATTATCTTGTTTATTACAGTAAATATTACTTTTTTATCTCCTCTATTTGAATAAATATCAAAATATAAATAATAGTTAAAATTATATATTGAACTTATTTTAGCATATTTTACTACAATAAATTACATATTTTAAATAGTGATGCATGAGGAACCAGTTGATTTATTATTTCTGTATATTTGAATATCATTATCTAATTATTTATTCACTACTTTTTAATTATACTACACAATATTTGATTAAATTCATTTTAAATGTGGATTCTAATTCAAGTAGTCCAGGTGGTGTCATCTGTTGATTGGTATATGAAGTCCTGATATGAAGAAACCTGTTTTTGATTTGTAGTGGCATCTACCAACAAATGCTCGAAGCTACAGCTTGAAAGAAACCATTTCTTTATATATTCTGTTACTTCGCGAACATGTTAATAGATAGCACTAGTGATCAGAAATAAAAAAATAAAAATTGGAAATTCTCTATCCAGTTAGAAATTATTATTTTAATAAAAAAATTTGCTATGTTTACCGTTTTTTAACATAGATATACAGGATGATGTATATATATTTTTAAACTAAAAATATAGGGTTTTTTAAATGGATTGCTGTATATTTTTATTTATTTAGTGGATATTAGTGGAGATAAAAGCATTATATTTATTCATATTACTTAGTTGTTTAAATTATTGGTACTTTCAATCGAGGGGTAAACCGCAGAGGGAAAAGTGTACACCGTAATTCCTTTTACTCAAATAATTCCTCAGAATTCCTCGTAATTTCTTCGGAATTCCTTGGAATTCCTGGTCTTCAAGGTCAAGGTCAATCATTCAAGGTCTTCCTTGGAATTCCTTGGTACGAACTCGGTAACTCTTTCAGTCTGAACCAGCGTTGCCACCTCGGTTTCACCAGTTCCGCTATGAATTTTCTGGTGATTTTTATAAATGTCTAATGTCTCTATAACTACTAGATCTAACAATAAAAAGTACTATTACAGGATTTGCGTTTTTTAGTTAAATTTTAGGACTAATAGAGGATCATGAGGTAAAATACTGGAAATATGTCGGCACTTACTTATTAAAATTAATTTTTCTCGATTTTTGAAAATGATAGGTACCTAGTTATACCCGTATCTATAGGAAGGAAAATTAATAAAACTTCAGTTGCACGTCATAATACGATCACCAGTAAATTCCATAAGATTACGCATGGTATCATTGATGAAGTGCACCTAAAAGTTGCATTAATTTCCCTATAGTATATACCTAGGTATTATTCCGAGGAAATGAAAAAATCAACTTTACACTTTCTGATGAATAAAAAAATCTTATGAGGGTTTCTTTAAAATGGCGAAATCAGGGAACGTTATAAGTAGATCTTTCGGGGTGGTTCGGCCGTACTATTGGAAAATATTTTAGATATATAATCGAGGGTACAATATTAAATTAAAAAAGAATATCTAACCTGTAGATATTTGATATTGGGAAATTTGGAAGCGAAAACGAAAAACGGATAGTAAAAATTGCCTGCAAAACGTTTTCTTTAAATTTAGTACTACCTATTATAGTATTCATGGTTTACTAATGTTCGTTAATTTTTATAAAGTTGCTTGTAATTCCTCTTAATTCCTGTGGAATTCCTCTAAATTTCTAAGGAATTCCTTGGAATTCATTGGAATTCTTACGGAAATAATTGGAATTCCTAGTAATTTCTATGGAATTCCTTGGAATTCCTCGTAATTCCTTGGAATTCCTGTAGAATTCCTTCATAGTGTACACCATAATTCCACTGCGGTTTACCCCTCGCTTTCAATATTAAAAAGTCAATTTATATATTTTCTGTTTTATTTGTAGAAAAATAATAGTGTTACAATTATGGCATCCTTGGCTGAAGTAGATTTTTGCTCAGAAAAAGCGTATGATCCTCAGGATCCTAGATGCCCCAAAGTTATCATTACCGGAAAGTTTGTAAAGGTATCTTTAGAACTTATAAAACTTTGTTAAGTGTATAAAATGTTTTTTTTAATTTGCAGTTACCAGAATCAGGTTCAGAGTATGCATTTGCTAAAGAATCTTTGTTCGAAAGACATCCTGAGATGCGTTTATGGCCTCTAGGTACTATTACATAAAAATACTATAGAAGGAGTATTTATCCTATAAAACACACGAAAATGGGAGACCCTATACAGGGTGTCCCACTAAGAATAGCTCTCGGTTGTATCTCGGAAAGTATTAGCCGTAGGGCCTACGGAAAAAAAATATTCATGGCTAAAAAAGAGCGTATGAAAAATTGCTGGAAATTATTTTCAACTTAAAGGCTTAATCAAGAGGGCTATTGATACCGTGGTATAAAAAGGTAACTAAGGGCTTATTTTTTCGTATTTATTATAATTTTGCTAGTATCTTAGGTTTGAAAGAAGATATTAAGGTGCGGTTTTCGCTGACTTTTTAAGCTTTTATTACTCTTTACTATCAGCTAAAATTACATATACTATCGTATTTATTTTTTTTTGAAAAAACGCGCAATGTTTGTTAAATTGTATATCAGCGCCCCCTAGCGTCTACGTCCAAAATATTATTATTATTATTTTTATGGCATAATATAGAGTAAAGAACGCTCTTTTAAACGAGCCCTTGTTTGTTGGATTCTGATCATCCAGTCCGGAGTTATTAACATTTAAATAAAGGAGATCTAACCTTCCCCCACCACTTTATTTTAGCAGATAGGAGAAACAAGCTCTAACAAAAAAAAAATCCAAAATTTATTGAAGATTATGGAGCTATTATTTATTGTACCCTTTATCTAGGTAAAAATCTGTAAAATTTCTATTTTCCATAGCAGTTGCGCCTAGAGCATAGCTCTAGCGGCCGTTCTACAAACTTAGAAAATATTTTTCAGCAATTTCTCATAGCTTCTTAAATTACAAATACTTTTTTTCCGTAGGCCTTACGGCTAATATACTTTCCGAGATACAGCCGAGAGCTATTCTTAGTGGGACACCCTGTACAAATGTGATGCGCAGTAAATCGTGAACCCAACGTCTACAGGCAGCTAGACGAGCAATATGAGCAAACTGAACTTAGCAGTTATAAAGTGAAGTTAGTCAAAAAGAGAGACAACACGCATCTTCAGAAATCGCATATTTATGTATCTCCTTTTTATTTATTTTCTCTTCTAAAAATTTTTCCCGCTTCTTTCAAATGTAGAACATTTGCTACAGCAGCGCCATCTTAAGTATTCCTTGTTTGATGACATCTTTTCAATACACACGAAGATAATTCCTTTTACCTCTACACTCCATAATTATTATTCTCTATATACTGATACTGACGTCCCATATAACACACAATATCCGCAGGATATTCATAGAATGTCGGAATGTCCCATTATAAGATCATCTTATAAAGACATCTATAGGATATCCTCCAGACATCCTGAAATCCTATAGATGTCTCAGAATAGAATATCCTATGGATGTCTCTGTCGTATATCTAATGTACATCCAGCTGAGATATCCAACATGCTCATGATAATAAAATATCCTAACAATATCGTCTAGATATTTAGGAAAAATAAATAATGTACTACTTTTTATATTACATAAAATGCAATAAACCATACAGATAGATATATATATATATATTACGTCAAGGCAACAAAATATCCTGTTGGTATCTTCTGGATAATCTGGATATTTATGAGGTTGGCCACTCCCAGTAATACAGAGAATTTAAAACGCCCGCGCAAAAAATTTCCCACAGTCCATCTCGACAGTTGTTTAGTTTTGATGGTTTTTGCATCGTGTATTATTCAGTTCTTTGATTTAGTGAAATTCGAGGTGAATTCGGTCGTTTGTCGATATTGGATGGGCTTAAAAATGACTGAAACTAACAAAACTGGTTGAGTTTGACTTAGTTTTTTTCTTATACTCATAGTTCTAGCCTTGTTCTAGCAGAAATTCTATCCTAACCTCAACTAATGTCGAAAAAACGACGAACAACTCAGGTTCTCACAATGAAGAATTTGTGACAAAATTATAGGTGAAAATTTGTTGAAAATCGCTTGTTCTTTATCTCTAAACCCATTTTCGTGTTTGATCTATTCAAACAGAAATCCTATTTTTGGGTTTAAATTGTGAGTTTCTGGAATGTGTGGTGTTAGAAATTATACCTGTATCCTGTGTGCTAACTTTGATGTAAACTGTTGCTGCTAGCTCTGCTGCTAGACATAAACTGCTAAACTCCATAAAGGGTAGTATAATCTGGTATAATACCATACGATCGAAAAAAACGGCGTCAGAGGTGGCTTGGAAATGAAGATTGCTGTTATTTTGTACGTAAAATTATAGGAGGAATGTCATCGATCGTAATTTTCAAGCCAATTGAACGCCGTTTTTTTTCGATGGTACAGCATAAATTGAAAGCTCTTAACTCATACAAATAAACTTCTAAATTTTGACGCAAAATTCATTGACATAATATGTAGGTATATTTTAGAGCTGTTAATAAAAATATCCAATGAATAACGTCAAAATGTGGCTAAATAAAACTAAATCGCAAACGTTTTTACTATAAACTAAGGATGAAGTAAGTATTGTCAAATAACAGTCCTCATATAATGCCCTAAAAATATTCTATAATGTCTATCGGCATCGTCCTTGTATTTAAGTTGAAATATCTAAATAATCGTAATAAGGTTTGCCTCTTATGTGTCTATTTAAGATGACATTTTTTATGCCTAGTAGCGATATCCCATAATTTCTTGACTTACCAGTTAATATCCCTATAGATCGCATTAATTACTTTTAAATCGATATCCTCAAGATATCTATAGGATTGTGTTGTGTTATATGGGGTACTTTTCTTTAGATCATGACTTCTACGTGGCCAAAATCGACATGGATCAAATCTGCGTGCTGGACTTCTTCGGCGGCATCAAATACGTCAGCCTGAGCGATTATTTCAACCCGAACTATACTGGCGCCATCAATTACGATTCGCACTTGCGAAGGGTATCAGTGGAACACATTAGCGGCGACATGTGATGACAGGCGACCTCTAGCGATAACGTGCGGACGTCCGAAACCATTGTGGCGCGTGAAATGTTAGAACGGGCCCATTCTGGTGTAATTGCGTAAGGATATCGCTTAATTGTGTTGGACACTGTAAATTTACGCACGAAATATATTTAATACTTAATATCATATCTAATGTTGTGTTTTATTTCAATTTATTTCCGATGTTTTATAGTAGGGGAGCCCAAGATGCTAAATGGGGATTTACTCGAGCGCGGTGGAGACTTATGGACACTGAACCAAAAGTCGACATAAATATAATGAAAAAGTTCATTAATATAATGAATTAAATCATTAATTTTGAGCCGATGAACGATTTCATTGGCACAATGAAAAGTAATTCATTAACTCTATGAATTTTAAGTTCATTAAATCAATGAACAGTGTTCATTAATTTGAAGAACACATTCATTGGTACAATGAACAGATTTCATTAATACAATGAAATAATTTCATTGTATTAATGAACCGTATCATTAATACAATGAAATTTATTTCATTGTATTAATGAACCGTTATCATTAATACAATGAAATAATTTCATAACCTATTTAGTTATACATTTAAAAGTCGACACTATTAGTAACTCTTGTTACACCGTATAATCAATGATGAAGATCGCTGTTATTGATATGAAATGTCATTGATAGTCATTTCCCAGCCAACTACCTGAAATAATTCTACTATAAATAGATTTCCATTTGAACAAGCCCTTAGCTACAAAGGTAACAAAATTACTAATAATGCCGACTTACTTACGAGCACAGTAAATTTTTCCATTAGGGATTATTAATAAAAAAACAAGTGCAATAAACTAATAATAATTTATTAAACTCGATATAGCATAATATACAAATAAAAATTTAAAAAATCGAATCGACGAAGAGAATAGTAATGTTATTATTAATTTGAGGGTAAATTATAATAAGAAAATTAATTTACCAGTCGATATCCTGAGGGATTTCTATAAAAAGACCATTTCTTCATTATATTAGCTGTATCCTTAGACTTGATAACGTCTAGACGAATTTGCAACAGGCTTTTCAAGTCGCATCAAGTGGGTACGATGTTAAATTGTCGAATTTGAGGGCTTGAAGGCTGGTCTCAACATCTTCCGGTTCTAAAAGACATATATCAAAATAATTAAAATGCCAAATATTAAAAGAACACTCGAATTTACCATAATTAGTTCCATGCCTCGACTTGTTACTATGTTTTTCTTCTTTTTGTTTTTTATCTTCTGAAACATATTTGGAAACCGCTGTTTTAATGAATACCCACACCAGAGATCTCACACAGCGGAATTTGATTTAACAACACAACAAATTAACTACAATACGATAGGACTTTTATTTAAAATATTTAAAATATTGAAGAGAACACTTACTGCTCTAATGAAACTAAAGCCTCACTGAATAACTCAACCACACAGACGTTATTAAAGTACCAAACTAACCGATCAACATGGCGGACATTTAAGCCCTAATATTTTATTCATGATATTAATAAGTAAACGCGTACAATAATATAATGTAGTGTGTTCGTTGTATTAATAACATTGTTCATTGTCACAATGATTTAGTACATTAATATAATGAATATGTGTTTATTAAAGTTTCAGCACTAAAATAAAGAACGCGTTCATTGCAAGTAGCATTTTCATTTCACGACTTGCGACCACATGTTTACTAAACACAACGTTGGATTAGTTACAAAAAATAGTTAGCTCCCTACCTTGGGTATTAAAATAAATTTAAACGTTTTTATAACGTTGTGCCGACGTTGGACTAGTACTACAGCAAAGTAGAAGCTTCTGCGACGTCGAATAAACGTTGTCTTGTAACCTTTTTTGCTTAAGTGATCTTTAGGTGATTTGGACAACGTAGTTACAACGTTGGATAATATAGAGTTTTCCGACGTCAGTTTCAGGACCTATTCCAACGTTATGCAAACGTCGTCTGTTTTACTAATTCCAACGTTGTTTAGATTTCCTTATTCTTACGTTGGTAGGACGTAGAGTCACTACCTTTTTGCAACTGTATTGAACCATAACCTTAAATCTTAAATTTTCAATTCATTGTTCTGTTCAGTCAGACAGTTCAGTGCTGTTTTTGTTTTTATAAAAAAAAAACTTAATTAAAATGGGACATAAGAAAGGTACATATAAAACTAAATTTAAATATACATCGACATATATTACCGACACTTCCTCGTTTATTTAGATTATAGAGGGCGGCACAAGCTAGACTCTAGAATGACTAAATTAGGCAATCTTGCGACTAGTATACTACCTGTTAAGGCCGAACTGCGACTTTATTAGTCCAGTATGCGACTACTCGAACTACTCCATCTTAATCTCCAAAACAACAAAGTTAAAGCCGCCATGTTGTTAAATAAGAAAATGTTTCGTTCTTAAAATAGCAATTCCTGCTTTTTGAATACATTAACTTGAAATATTTGACCCTAAAAAATACGCGGAAACAATTTTTTCGAATGCGAATAAATTATTCTCATTTTACTAAAAAAAAAATTCAAGAAAATTTTTAAAACTTCTTTAATTTCAAGGCCCATTAGTATTTTTTAAAGTAGAAACAATACATTTATCAATAAAGTTGTTTGCGTTTAACTTTTTACCTTGGGTAACGAGTTACAGAGTCGGTTAAAGTGTTTCAATAATTATGATCTTCAAACATCCTCCACACTTAAATACTTTTGTTTTGTTTTCCTTCACTGCCATCTGACATATGTCTCTAACTAAATTATAAATATAATATTTTTACTATAATTATCCCAATTTAGGATAAAACGCGACTTAGACGCCATATTAGTTTTGTATTTCTGTGAATTAGGATTTTAAACAACGTTGCAGTTTGTACTAAATTAGGCTTCTAGCCAACGTCGGTATCCAACGTCGTTTCGACCCAAAAATTATTCTCCAAACTAGTGCAGACTAGGGTTGGCACGAGGTTGTGCAGACGTTGCGCCCCGACGTTTGGTCGCGTGACACAACGTTGTCCCGACGTCCAAATGCTGCTTGGGTATATTAATGAAAATCTTACATTAATTTAATAACCAGATTTTCATTATATTGATGAAATTAGATTCATAATATTAATAAATCGGACATCGATCTATGATTAACAAATCATTATATTAATGAAAAAAATCATTGTCCCAATGAAACAACAGTTAATAATCAATGTTCATTAATATTATGAACAATATTTTTTTCAGTGGATAAAAAGGTTATATGATGATTACTACAACCTGTGCTACAACTAGTGATTAAATATTTTATGAACATTTTCTAAAATTATAATTATGTACTTTTAAAAAATTCCGTTATAGCCGAAATAGCCCCAATTATTATTATGACCCCACTAGCAAAACCGGTGCGTAAAACCATGCTCGCTACAGTAGTTGAACTCGTCTAAAAAGTTTTTTTAGCTGGAATAATAAATAATTATAATACAAGTTAGTGTGAAAAGTTTTTACATTTTTGTTTTTATTTTTAGAATTTTCACAAATTATACTTTTAGATAACACTTTTAGCATGATTATACAGGGTGTTTCAAAAAACATGTGCCATCTCTCGTGGGGAGATTCCTCACGTAAAAATAAAATGTATTTTCTATATCAACCTAGGTCCGATTCTGCTTTGTTTCGTGGCTGCAGGGTGGTAAAGTCTTAATTTTTTTTCGGTTAATTATAATTTTCTTTCATGTACTTTTAGCGATTCCAATGAAATTTTGAAAGTAAAAATTACTATAAATGCGACATGTTTTAATGCTAAAAATGTGTTGACATTCACCAGGGATCAGTGTATATTTGTATATGGGTTATCACCGGAATTATACGCATTAAAATATGTATTACTTATAGTAACTTTTACCCTCGAAATTACATATGAATTACTAAAAATACTTGGTAGAAAATTATAATAAATCGAAAGATTATTAAGACTTCAACACCCTGTAGACCTACGAAACAAAGCAGAATCCGACCTATGTAGATATGAAAAATAAATATTATTTTTATGTGAGGAATCTCCCCTCGAGAGATGGCACATGTTTTTTGAAACACCCTGTATAATTATTTTTTTCCTAAAATCGCTATTTAAACCCGTGTATTTGTATAATATACATATGTATGTTACGGTATCACACATATAACACACGGTATATAACAGATCAACAAAACAACCAAAAACATAACCTAACCCAAACATTAACATGTTAATGTCGACATTAACCGGACATCGGACTTTAACCGACTTTAACCGTAACATATACACTATATACCAGTTGTTTCCGATCGGAGAATGCACCAAGTCTATACTAAAAAGTCCTGATTAATGCGATTTAGTGATAATTAACAAAAATCGCGCTAAAATAACGTTATCGTTTACGTTAATTTAAAAATTATTGATTTTACAAACAAATAACAGAGCGGCAAATTTTTCGTTTGCATGGTGTATTTACGGCTAATTTAAGGCAAATGTTCCACCTAATTTCAGGAATTTTACTGAACTTTTACTGGAATGGTTGTGCTAACCATTGCCTGGAAACTTATATGGTGAAATTTTGATAAAATAATTTAGTACACACTAAAAACACGGTATGTCGCTAGTGGTAGGAAAAATAATTTTTAGAGGTTACTAGTTTATTTGGTTGCCTGTGATATGCATATACAGGGTGTTTCCTAATTAATCTAAAAAATAAAAAATCGTTAGAAAACGAATTAAGGTGGGCTCTTAATAAGTATATTTATTTTTTTCTCGACAACCGTTTGATGAATAAGAAAAACTCAAAAGATCAATTTTGTTGAAAAAGGATGGCCAGTCAAGAAAAAAATATATTTTCTTTAAAAAAGCAGTGGTGTACCATTTATGTTAAGCAAAAATATCGATTTTTTTAAATTTTTAACACCCTGTAGAACAGAAAGGAAGTACTTTAGACCTAATGATTATATAAAAATTGTTTTAAGAACATATGAGGAATCACACCATAATTTTTTTACACTAATTCGAAAACACCCTGTATATTGTCAACTTGACAATGACTGCTGATAAATCAAAAAATACCTTTTCAGCGAAAAAAGCCTGATTTTCGCAGGAAAAAATTTGATTTTTATTGAATTTGGCCCTGCGTTTGCAAATACTCGTTTGTTTTTTAATTTTCTATCTATCTAAATTTTAAATATCATAGTCAGAAATAGTTTTATTATTTATTAACTGTAAAAATGGTGTTTTCTTGTTGTGTTTCATCTTGCAAAGAAACTAACAAAACTGCAAAAATGTACGTGTTTCCAAAAGACGATAAGGTATGTATCTTAGATAAAAGAAAATATATGTATTCGTTGTTTGATTTTTTTTTCGTTCGCTTTAAAATCTATAAATCTCGGTCTATTCATTAGACAGCCAGTCGACGATCATTTACATGAAACTCTGTAAAATAAATAAAAAAATAAATTGTAAAATATATATATTCTTATGTCTTATTAAAGTTACCCTGATATACTAATATATCAGTGTAACTTTAAAAAAATCCTTTGAATTCAAATATAAACATAAAAAACATTTACAGCAGAAAAGGCGAAGGCGCTAGGTTAAACGTAATCTCCACTAAAAACACGGAGGGGCGCTTTGACCCAAAATTTTACTATTAAGTTTCATATCTATCTTAATTGTAGATTATTTTCTTTTATCTATGGTGCTAACTTAATATAATATGACTTTGACGGTATTACATATTTTGGTGCAGGGGGATAGAGAATGATCGGAGGATATTCATTTTTAATTATTGTATCTATGAACGGCAAAAAACGGCAAATTTCTGCTATACTGTAAGGTTCCTAATTATGTTCTTTCACTTATTTCCAATGGTGGTGGTGCTAACTTAAACTTAGCACAACCATCAATTTAAGTTTTTTTTAAGGGGGGTAATTTTTTGTGGGGACACAAATGTAAATACACTCTCTTTGTCTGACGTTAACGTATGTAGATACCTAAATATACTTTATTCTAATGGTTTTATAAGTAAAATTAATTGTCCAACCAGAATTGAGGGCAATGCATTGTCTTGCTTGGATCACTTTTTTATTAATTCTGATAGAAAATCGAATGCAGTCTCCTTATATGGTAGTCATTCGGACCACTTCCCCATCCTTCTTGACATCAAACTTCGGAAATCAGATAATAGTAAAAATAAATTCGTAAAAAAGTTCATCTCTAGCTAATTTGAATCATATGTTAGAGCGGAAGAATGGGAAAGTGTTTTGACGGAGCGTAGCCCGGACACCTGTGCATCAGGAGAGTTCATTGAAGCTCTTGATAAATATGTACAATTATCAACAAGAACATTTTATGTGAAATGTAAGTACCGCCGCAAAAAACCCTGGATCACCAGGGGCATTATTACATCTATAAGACAATATATATATTTTATAAAATATAAATATATATTTTATAAAAATATATATTTTATAAAAATATATATATATTCTATAAAAAAAAACTCAAAAAGTTGTATTCTCTAAACCCTAATGATTTAACAGCCAAACAAAACTTTATTGATTACAGAAAGTTACTAACTAATTTAATTCGTAAAGCCAAAGCCATGTATTTTAAATCTCTTTTTAGTTCTAATTTTAGTAGCTCAAAGGAAACGTGGAAAACCATAAAACTGGCCACAAATGAAGTGACAGGAGGGTCATCTGTTGCCGGCGTTGTGGCTGAGAGCGGGTCAGTGGTGACTACGGAATCTGAGATCGCTAACGAATTTAATAAATATTTTTGCAGGGTAGGGAAAAATTTAACAAAAAAGACCTCTAAATAAAAACTTAAACTCAAAAATCTGTAATAAAAGCTTCTTCTTAAATCCAATGTCTGAAAATGAAATTTTTACAATTATAAGTTCCTTAAAAAATACAAAGACAAATATGGGAAATAGCATCTCTAACTTGAACATAAAAACTTATTGTAGATACTTTATTAAACCACTGGTTTATCTTACCAATCTAATATTCGTTACTGGCATTTTTCCCGATGTTCTAAAAAAAACCGTTATTATTCCTTTATACAAGTCTGGCTCACGTGACTCGGTGCAGAACTACAGACCTATCGCTCTCATTCACAATATTGGTAAAGTAATAGAAAAGTGCATTGATTCAAGGCTTAATGATTTTTTACACAAAAATAACTTAATTAATAAAAATCAATTTGGTTTTAGAAGGGGAATTGGTACAGAGGATGCTCTGGTCAGGGTGGCAAACAGCATTGTGGAGAGTTTTAATAATAATAATAAATGCATAACTGTATTCTTGGAGCTGGCGAGGGCCTTCGACACTGTGCCGCATCACATCCTCCTGGAGAGACTCTCTCATAAAGGAATTCGAGGGCTGCCTCTTAATTTCTTTAAATCCTACTTGGAAAACAGAATGCAGCAGGTGAGGGTTGGCGATTCACTGAGTGATCTTTCTCCGGTGGGGTGTGGTGTGCCACAGGGCACGGTGCTTGGTCGGGTCCTTTTTATTCTATACATAGATGGAATATTATTTGACATTCTACCCAACGGCAGTGCTGTTTGCTACGCTGACGACAGTGTGCTCTTAATCCAAGAAAAAACATGGCATGAAACGTATAAAAAAGCTGAAACTTTGATTAGTTTAATTAAGGAATCTTTTGATTATAGCTTATTATCTTTAAATAATGAAAAATCAAATTTTATCTGCTATTCTATGACTAAAGCTGGTATGCCGGATACGCAGAAATCTATTAGAATACATAAGTCAGATTGTGCTGACCATCAAAAGTGTAACTGTGATCTTATTATAAAATCAGTGAAAAGTGCTAAGTATTTGGGTGTGATTATCACTTAGGTGGGATTGTCACACAAATTATGTATGTGACAAACTTAGGAAATTATTATACAAATTTTATACTTTAAGGCAGAGTTTAACCAAAGATTGTATTATCAGAGTATATAGATCCCTGATTGAATCTATTTTAACATATGGCTTGAGTGTCTGGGGCGGTGCGACTAGACAGACTATACAACCTCTAGAAATTACACAAAAAAGAATTTTAAAAACTGCGTTATTTAAAGACAAACGTTTCTCAAGTGATCATTTATTTCTAGAAGCAAACGTCCTTAATCTACACAAATTATACATTAAAAGTGTTGCCCGTCTCTTAAGCACGAATAAGATACCTAAGGTCCCTGCAAATCATTCATATTCAACCCGATCTGTTTCAAATGAATTGTTGATAACTCAAACTATTAACTTTGTAGCGGTTCAAAGAAGCCTGCTATTCACAGCTCCCAGAATATATAATGCTCTTCCATTACATTTAAATAATAAAAAAATTGCTAGGATAAAAAAATCTTTACATGTTTGGTTAATGAATCTTAATGAAAATATTTTAGAAATCATAAACTGAAATAATATATTATTAGGCTTGTTGTTTGGATTGTTATTGATTTTTGTTACTGACTAACTTAGGGTAATTCCACACATTTTTGTTAAAGATCATTGAATATGTGTGCACACACATAAATTCTAAGAATTCATTGTGCATCTATTTTTGATATTTTCGAATTATTGTAAACTTATTTGAAATAAATATTTTTTATTTTTTTATTTATTCATTTAAGAGTCCATTTCACTAGTCCGAAAAAGTAGCAAAATAAGCGTTCGGCATTTAACGTTTTATGTAAAACTGGCTAGGTATTTTTACACAAATGGAGAAGGAAATTAAAGAAAAGGATTATACTAGATTCGTATTGTAGCACATTTTTAGACAACTTCTTTATTTTTAAGATTTTGATGGTCAAACATCAACAAAATATTCCTTATGTTTGGACTAAATTTTCTCGAAAATAAAGACAAAATTTAAAATTTCGTTACAATGCGGAAATAGATTGAAGTTTTGTGATTACACTGATATATAATTTATATGGTTTTGTAACAAATTTATCGCTATTTTATGGAAAATGCTGAAGCTCTGCAAACCTTAATCAAGCCTTAATCAAAGCAAAATTTTGGGTGTGTATTAACACGACAGGATCGGGCTAAGCCTTAGGCAGATTTCTAAAAATATATTTTTCCTTTGGCCACACAATCGCTTTACCCTACCTCTGAGAGCAACCCGAAAGTACAACGTAATAGACTCTTAACCTACTTAGCGAAGAGCGGCAAATTTTTCGTTTTCAGGGAAATATACGGCTAATTTACAGCAATTGTTCCACATAATTTTATACATTTTTTTAAAGTAGTTGTGCTAATTTAACACACGTATAGATTGAATGAACAAATAGGTACTCTATTAATCGTGCACGTAGTAGATATAAGATAATATTTGTGGTTGATGTGGTTTAACCTATTATAGCACTTATATCACTAATAATAAACTATAAGTTTAAGCACTGTTTTCATATTGTTCAGTTTTGGATCATCAGAGAAACTGATCTAATCGTTTAAATCAAATTCAAAACTTATCAACAAAGAATTTAAAAATAATCTCATTATTGACTGAAGCGTTGAAATCAAAATGAAAAGGGACATTTTCTTGGTAAGTTTCTTTTTGTTTCTCACCAATATTTTAATTTTTTATAACAAATAAGGTGCCCGGTGGCGTTATATAGAGGTACCGGCTCTCGTCTACCAATCTCAAGGTAGTGGGTTCGATTCCCACACCCGGCATTGCATCAGCCGACTATTTTTATTAAAATAAAAATAGTTTGGGTACTTAGGTCGACTCAGCCTTAAATGAGTACTTGGGATTTACAATCCTAAGGTAATGATAGACGGTTGAAGCGTAGTGCGAGCCACATTACCTTCCTTGTATACCGAACGGCTCTAGTATGGCAAGCTGTACCTTGCTACTCCCAAGGCGTTAAACGCTATATACGGGAGCTATTATATATTATTATTATATAACAAATAAGCTTAAAAATATATTTTTAGATAAAATTAACACTTCTATCATGTTTCTTGTTAATTTCTGGAAATGCCATAGATAAAATAGATAGTTCGGATCCACCATCACCGGATAACACACCGTTGATGGCTAGATACATTGTTCATAACACTGGTAACCACTTTTTAACTAAGTATAAATCTAACAATTATTATTCAAATTCGTGTTTTTTTTAAGATTGGGCATCTGTAGCAACGATCTCTACCCAAAATTCCATCTTAGGATATCCATTTGTAAGTTTAAAATCATTCTGCGATGGACCTGTTGATAATTCAACTGGTATTCCATATTTTTATATGACAGGCATGGATGTATCTAGTAAAGATTTAGAGGTAAGTTTAACTTTTCGTAGACATTATTTTAGTGTTACAAGTATTTTGTTTACAGCAAGCAGTAATTTATCTTCCCTATTTGAATAATAATCAAAAGATAAACAATCGTTATAACTATAGTTATTCTCCATATTGAACTTAATTTAGTATATTTTAGTAAAAATAAATTAAATTACCTATATATTTTACATAGTGATGCATGAGGTAATCATTGGCGTATTGTTTCTGTAGATATATTTCAATATCAATATTCTAATTGTTTATTCACTATTTTCACTATATTTTGTAAATATATTAAACAATATTTTACTAAATTAATTTTAAATGTAAATTTTAATTGCAATGTATCATCTGGTGTCATAATAGGGTGTCCCAATATTTCGACATAGAACTATTTAGTTTTTACCCTTCCCGTAGTTTTTCTTGATTTTTGTCGAAGTCAAATGTTAAAGCACTTAGACACCCAAGCAAAACATAGACACCCAAAATCTTATTCACATCGGAATAACTGTTCTTAAAGTATCTGAAAAAACATGATTATTTTTTTAAAGTTTGATGCCTTCTAACGGACAAACGAAGCACTTTTGTATAGAGGTAAATTGTGTTCAATGGACTTATTTTGATTCCAAAAATACGTAGTAGTTCTATGCCCACGGAATATTGGAACACCCTGTATACAGGCCCAAGTAGCATCTATCTGACTTTGAACTAAATCTGACCTGAAGCGACGTCAGACTTTGTGCAAATTTAGGTCGGGTGCTGGTGATACGACCTGTGACGTCGCTTTCCTATTAAAAGCGACGTCGTTGGATCCGAGTCGGCAAATCCAACGATCTGTCGACGTACAAAATAACAACGTACCATTTTTATTAATTACCCAAGGTCGTTCCCACGTTGGCTTGCACGACGTACATATACTTGAACTAGCCCGACGTCTATCCGTTGTCCGAATAGGATACGTCTCACTGATAATCCCTAAACTAACGTCCAATTATATTTTGTTATATTTTATGTTCATATTTATAACCTAATTTACGTATCTCTATTTACGTCCGTAAATACAACCCATTAAGTAGCATTTGCGACCTAATGAACATCATGAACATAACCTAATAAAAAGTTTTTGTAAACAAAAACTTTTTATGTGTTTTTTTTATTATGCCTAAAAAACACTAAAAAGGCATTTAGACATTCATCTACATTTTACAGAAAGAGGTCGAGGCTTTTGTAAAATAATAATAGTAGTAGTGATGTCTTGCCTCCACCCATAAATGCTTTTTATCCGGAAGAGATGCTGCATTACACTGGTGCATCTTAATTTCATTTTTTAGCTTAGGAAATCAGCAGACCCCATCCTCCTCTGACATGTGAGGTTAGGCTTAAAAAAGTGGCTGCCCATTTTTTTTAAGGAGAAAACAAAAACTAAAATATAGTTGCACAAATCCACAAATCACTGATAAACAAAGTGAGGTTACGTGGCGTACGTTGGAATTATATACGTCATAATACGATTGCCGGTCTTCCGGTTTGATGACTTCGGTCGTGTGAGACGACTAATGTTGGAGACCCGGTCGGAATTGGTATATTGGTAGTTCATATTAAGTCGGACTCAGAAATCCGCCATTCTTAACACGTATCCGATTGTCAGCCATTTTAAAATCGTTTTTTGTTTTTAAAATTTATATTAACATTTCGATTTCTAGTAGAATAATATCGATAAGGTTGAGTTTGGGGGGAACCACAGTACAGTTTTATGATTAAACCAGCTAGAAAATAAAAAAAAAATTGTGAGTTACTTTTTTATAGATATTTTTATTTCATAAATCTACCTAATTTTGAAAGCGCTCGTTGTTTTCCGGAGTATTTTAATCAAATATATCAAGAAAGTGACTTCCGTTGACAAAACTGATGTCTGGATTAATGATTCAGAATTACTATAATACGAAATTAGATAGGCACTTATAGTTATATTCGAGGAGTGATTATGAATCCATTTGTAATTAGGTAGTTTGGTTAGGTTTTTATGTATTCTTGGTAGCGAATATGAAACCAAAAGTAACGTAAGTGCTTAGCGACGAATTTTAAGTGACTAAAATCCAACGTAATATGACGTTGGTAATTGGTAGAATTACATTCCCTATTAGGTCAGATACCGACGTCGAGGCGACCCGAATCTGTATTCCCCATTTAGGTGCAAATAAGGCTCGTCAGGTGGTCGAACCGACGTTGGTACCCAACGTCGGGTTTATTGAACGCGACGTATACCCGACGTTAGATAACGTCCAAATGTTACTTGGGGGGTGGTCCGAACTGTATTCCGGAAACTTCGGCTGCATATTCTGCAGATAAAAATATGTAAAAAAGTTCGTATAAATGTATGTCCTAAAATCTTTAGTTTCGGAGATACAGGGTGTAGAAGTTTCATTTTTATTTCGATTTTTTCCAAATAATTTCTGAAGTAACACCAATGTTTGGATGAAAATTGGTGTCTGGGAGTTTTTCGACGTGAGAAATTTGATTTTGATGTCAATATGACTCCTCTTTGTAGGAGGCGCCACCTGCCACCTGTAATAACTTTTCGTCCGTACCTGTATAAAACTACTAAGTTAAAAAATATACATTTCCGTTATTTTTTACGTAAAATGTCTCTTAGTAAAAATCGCTATGAGCAACCGTTCTCAAGATATTTAAAATGGGATCAGTCAATACATGTCATTATTAACAAAAAATAAACATGTCGAGTAGATAGATATTTGATTAAAATTAATAATTTGCGAACTTTTTATTTTTTTAAATTAATAATAAATTTTTCTTCGAAAAAACGATGATAAAATAGTTTCTGTTGAACTTTTGGCACAAAAACATTTAAAATAAATAATTTCAGTCTAATAACTATTTAGTCAACATGTATGTCAATGATGACAGGCATTGATAATTTCGATTCCAAATATCTCGAAAACTATTACTCCTAGCGATTTTTACCAAGAGACTTTTTTTACGTAAAAAACGTCGCAAATGAATATTTTTTACTCAGTAGTTTACTTCAAACTTTAATAGGTAGATGGCGCCCTCTACAAGTGGAGTCATAATGACATCAAAATTTTCATCCAAGTATTGACGTTACTTCAGAAATTATTAAAAAAAATCGAAATAAAAATGAAACTTCAACACCCTATATCTCCGAAACTAAGCATTTCAGGACATACATTTATACGAACTTTTTTACTTATTTTTATCTGCAGAATATGCTGCCAAAGTTTCCGGAATACAGTTCGGACCACCCTGTATACGAAGTTTTGATAAGAAGAAACGTATTTTTGATTTAGAGAATTCTACCGTATGATCGAAAAAAAACAGCGTCCAGTTGGCTTAGAAATGACGATCGATGACATTTCCCATATAATTTTACATATAAAATGACAGCGATCTTCATTTCATAGCCATCGTTGACGCCGTTTTTATTCGATCATACGGTATTTTCTGTTACTTTGCTAGTACGGCAATTCGCCAATATATGTCATAGTGATCAGAAATAGAAAGTTATAAATTGGATAATGTTCGATTCAGTTATAATTTATTATTTTAACAATAGAAACATTTGCAATGTTTTTCTCTTTTTTTCTTAGATATACAGAGTGACCCAAATATATTTTTAGAATAAAGATATAGTACTTTTTAAATGGATTGTACTTATCATCATTTTTTTGCTTAGTGGATAAGTATGGTATATTAATGGAGATACGAAGTTTTACATTTATTTATTATCTAGTTGATTAATGAATTACTACTACCTGCATTATTAAAGAATCAATTTATATGTTTTTTGTTTTATTCGTAGAACAATAATAGTGTTACAATTATGACATCCTTGGCTGAAGGAGACTTTTGTTCTGGAAACGAGTATGATCCTCAAGATCCTAGATGCCCTAAAGTTATGATCACAGGAAAGTTTGTAAAGGTATTTTTTGAACTTATAAAACTCTGTTAAATTTTTGAAATGTTTTTTTTTATTTACAGTTGCCAGAATCAGATTCAGAGTTTGCGTTTGCTAACCAATCTTTGTTTGAAAGACATCCCGAGATGAGTTCATGGCCTCAAGGTAACGGTTTCGCAGATATTTTTTTATACTTTGTTACTTGTTAGCATTAGGGTAACTAGCAATTCATCCGGGGGAAAGGGGGGAACAGAGGCCTATCCAGAGTGGGGGGCTAGCGCTTTTGACATTTAAAGAATGAAGAATGATAATATTAAGCACATTTTTTCAATAAAACGTTTACATGTATTTCTCTCTCAATAAATTTGATATACTTAGTTATCAACTCAAGACCTACAAATTTTGTAAAAAATTAAAAGCATACAAGCAAACATACATTTTTTGAACACAATAACAAAGTAATATTAACTTAACAAAATTAGAAAAAGTACTTTTTGCTACATCACAAGCAAATAAAAATTAATATTTAGGCATAATTTAGTTCAAATTTTCAATTCAAAAATTCAATTTTCACTGGGGACAGGACCAGGGGTGGACACGCCACCCCGGTCCCCCTTGTAGTTACGCCAATGCTTGTTATAGTCTATAAAATGAATAACTTTGAATTTTGACCGTTATTTTTTACCAACATGGCAAATATAAAATCCTTCTGTCAAAAAAGTTACTGATATTCTTTAAATTGAATGCCTGAACGAATCAGATAGGTAACTCTTTTTACTTTCGTGAAATAGAAAAGCAAAATAATAAAATAAGTGACAGTTCTTCCTCTTCTTGCAAAAATCAACACAAAATGTCATAATTGTCAAAAGTAAAGTGTCATATCACCTTTTGACATTTCTAAATATCAGACCAATGCCGTCTCTAATAGAAGAGCCTCGGAGCGAGATTTATGACGTCACGCTAGTTAAATACTACGGATTAATATATATGTTGTAGAATACATGGAAAACATAATTATTCCTCGTATTTTTGGTTCGTATTTTAAAAACGATATAGTTTACATGAAATATACATAATATCTGAATGGCTGAAATAATAATGGCTGAAATCGTACACACAAATCGTACTCCATAGTCAGTTTAGATAGTTTTAGTGTTAGGAATAATAATTTTAAAAAATATGTGGTCATTTTTTGACATTGTTATCTTTCATATTTTGACAAGTTTATATTAGTTTATTAATTGCAGTAAACATTATGTGGTGTTAGGTTAGGTTGTGAATATTTTATATGTAATTTTTTGGACTATATTTGACACTATTTTTTTCATATGACAACACCGATGAAGGCTATAATATTAGCCGAAATGTTTTATTATTAAACCAAAAAAAAATAATGAAAAACCAAATGAAAACTTAATCAGCGTTTTTCCCTAACCTAAATCCCAAGAAAACCAAAAATTTTAGAATAATTTTACATATAAAATGACAGCGATCTTTATTTCATAGCCATCGCTGACGCCTTTTTTTCTATGATATTGTATTATTTGCAAATATAGTTTTTCGAACATTGATACTTACAAAAAAAATATATATATAAATTTTGTGAATGCAAATAATAATACATCATTATTAGTAGATATTGAATGTTTTTTGTTAAATTAGATCGATTTTCAAACCCCAAAATTTAAAATATATTTTACATTTTACCCATTATCTTATGTACCTATTAATTATTGTTTGCATATTGTAAACATTTGCTGCATTTGTATGGTTCATAGTTTATTTGCCAAAGTATTTATTACTATAAATAGGTAAAATATATTGTATTTATACTGTATATTATGTATATTTCACTATATCATTTCTAAAATACAAACCACAAATACGAGAAATAATTATGTTTTCCATGTATTCTACAACATATTTATTAATCCGTAGTATCTAACTAGTGTGACGTCATAAATCTCGCTCTGAGGCTGTTCTATTAGAGACGGCATTGCGTCAGCATGGCCGCAAGTTGCTAACCTAATAAAATTAACACTAGAAAATCCCGCGGAAACAGTCAAATTCAAAGTTATTCGTTTCACAGACTATACTATAATCAATGACTAAAGAATACAAGGACATGTAACGGCCATATACGAGCTGCAGCCGAATTTGTGACATTAGACGCCATTTTTTTGGTTGTAACGAATGAGGCATCAGCGACAATTTTAGTGATTTTTCATAGTTTGTGTGTAGTGAACTTTGTATAAACATTATTACAGTGGTGATTAGTTGTTCAGCTTTTAAGCGTAATAGCCTCAGAGATAAAAAAGAGCCAGGAGTTACGTTATCATAGGTAAATAAACAGTCCACTCCACACTCCACCTTTTTAGCGTTTTTTTAGTTTTCTTATTGAATTCGATCATTATTATTCTGATATGATATGTACTTGATATGTGTTATACGTCGATACTAGTGTTGCACAAGACAAGAATTCTTGTCTTGAAAATCAATTTCTTGTCTTGTCTTGAAATTCAAGACAAGACATTTTCAAAGTCTTGTCTTGCAGATTTCTTGAATGGCAAAGTCTTGTCTTGTCTTGCAAGACTCTTGAAATTTCTTGTCTTGAAAAATTTTACATTCTAACAAAAATGTAATAATATTTCTGTACTTTATTTCATAGAAAGCGTCGCATACAAAATATAATACGGAAAAATGAACAACAACGATGCTAATTGTAGCAAAAAAAATGTTAACGGACCGCAAACGAACTACGTCAACTTATCAAATAAAAGCTGAATAAGAATAACTAAGCTTAAGTTCGATTTGATGGATTTTGGGTTATTATTTCGTATTATTGGACTAGCATTTATTTTTTATGGTATTTATTTTATTTTTTATTATGGAAGATTGGTTGGAAAAGTTTGGACACAGAGTGTACGGAAAGGTCATGCTTGAGTGTACTATCTGCGCTATTTGATACTACTTTTTGTTCGCGGAGCAATTTCGTGCATGAAAAGTAGTACCAAATTACGCAAATAGCGTGCTCCACGAACCCACCATTAGTTGCCTCAACTTTGTTTTATTTCATTTTCAACTCTAAAACACTGGCATTGGCGTAACTACAGTGGTGCCCGGGTGTGCCGGGCCCCCCCAGATACTGCTGGGCACCCCCAGAGAAATCTTGAATTATGTCTCTTGGCTACATTTTAATTTTTATTTGCTTGTGATGTGGTAAAAATAACGTTTTCTAGTTTTGTTTAGTTAATATTATTTTGTTGTGTTTTTAGTTAATATTATATTTTTAGAAAATTTGTAGATATTTAAGTACTACAGGAACACGGTTTGATAACCAAGTCTATAAAATTTATTGAGAGAAATTCATGTAAACGTTTTATTCAAAAAATGTGTTTTTTTAAATTATTTTTAATTTTTAAAAAAGTTGAGTAACATAATTAAAGGCTAAGTTCGTGGTAGATGTCAACAGGTTTATAAGAAGTGGATAGTTTAACTTTTATGATTATGACTATGATTGTGATTACGACTATGTAAATGTTGTATAAACCCAGCATAACTTGCGCAAAGACCTAATTATCACTAATAATAAACTTTATTTCTAAATTACAATATAAAATTGTGATAGAATAGTCAAAACAAATACAATAATAAACCTTTTACCTATGCATCTATGTGAAAAACTTAAAAAATAAAACATTTCTAACTTTCAAGACATCTAGAATTCAAGAAATCTTGCAAGACTCTTGAAATTTCTTGCATATTAATGTTTTGTCTTGTCTTGAAATTCAAGACAAGAAATTTTGAAAGTCTTGTCTTGACTTTCTTGCAAGAGTCTTGATCTTGCAAGACTTTTTCAAGACTCTTGTGCAGCACTAGTCGATACTAGTTTTGTACCTTTTGCTAACATTTTAATACATTTTTTTCGTAATTAATTAGTATGATACTACTGCATGCACCATAGGCGTAGTCAAAACATTTATAAAAAATATAAATATCTCTTCAAGCAGCTAAGTTAAGAAAAATATGTGCCACGGTACTGCTTGGTGGTATGGTAGCAATTTGCTCTCGGGTCTTATTTGTCCTTGTATTCTTTAGTCATTGCTTTTAATATACTGGGTTTCCAGAGTTTAATTTACAGGGTTCAGGACATTTGACAGTTTATGACATTCTTTAAAATTCGCTGTTTTTTTATCTACCTCTATACGCAAAATATAAAAAAACCCTACCCTCGTACACTAATATACTGACTTATTTTTGTTCAGATCACAACTTCTACGTAGCCAAAATTGACATGGAGCAAATCTGCGTGCTGGCCTCCTTCGGCGGCATCATATACGTCAGCCTGAGCGATTATTTCAATCCGAACTATACTGACGCCATCAATTACGATTCGCACTTGCGAAGGGTATCAGTGGAACACATTAGCGATGACATGTGATGACAGGCGACCTCTAGCGATAACGTGCGGACCATTGTGGCGCGTGAAATGTTAGAACGGGCGTCCATTCTGGCGTAATTGTCTAAGGATATCGCTTAATTGTGTTGGACACTATTATATTTATACTATATATTATTATTTATCGCAATATATATTGGTGAGTCTTAAATAAGTGCAAATATTTTCAGGGCTGGTAGATCTCGAGAAAAGAAACATATTTTCTCTTTACCCTTTTTCAAATAAGTCCAATATAACCGAGTTATTTTACTTTGAAAATTTGAAAAAAAAGATTCTTTACTTAAATTTGAACTGATGTGAACTTAGCAGCCAAAAGATAGCGGCCGATTTGCCGAACATAGCCGAAGGGCCAGTGGCGTCGGGCGACTTAACTTAATATGAAATAATCATACAATTTCTTGCAGTGCGTTACCTTGCTTCGAACCACTGGATCTTTCTGGATTTTCTTTCTTGTAAATTTAATCTACTAGCTATGTTGCCATATTATTAAAAAATTATGTTTTTTAAAAAATATGAAAAAAAAATTTCGTATCAAAATAATTTAAACCTAATAGACGTGTTTCTGGGGTCGAAATATACTACCTCTAAAATATTTGTCCGTTTGCCTGTATTATATCACTACACAAAATATATTTACATTACATATCACAAAATACACTATCCCAATAAATATACAAACTATATGTATATCACAAAATATACTTATTGTTAAATCTAATTTTGTTTTAATTTCATTTTCTTTCTGATATGTTGTCATACATTATTGTTTTTGTCTATTACGCTGTACTGATCGGGTCGTGCTCGGGGGTCGGCTAAAGCGGGTATATAGCCGAAGAAAATATATATTATAATCCATAAATCTGGCTATGGCTTAGCCCGATCCTGTCGTGTTAAGCCACACCCAAAATTCCAAACACACGTGCTTTGATTAAGGCTTGATTAGGATTTGCAGAGCTTCAGCATTTGTCATACAATAGCGGGTAATTTGTTACAAAATCATATAAATTATATATCACTGTAATCACAAAACTTCAATCTATTTCCGTATTGTAACGAAATTTTAAATTATGTCTTTATTTTCGAGAAAATTTAGTCCAAACATAAGGAATATTTTGCTGATGTTTGACCATCATAATGTTAAAAATAAAGAAGTTGTCTAAAAATCTGCTACAATACAGGTATAGTTTCATAATATATAGTATAGGTATAGTTTTATACAGGTTTCGTTTTTTTTTAAATCCTTTATCTTTAATTTCCTTCTTCATTTGTGTACAGGGGCGGATACAGAAATTTATTTTAGGGGGGGCCCAAAACAAAAAGTAATGTAGAATGTGCTTTTTAGGGCGCCATTTTTAACCCAAAAGCTTAAGATTTAACTCAATTTACAGATTTTAGATGGGGCCCGGGCCCCATGGGCCCCCCTCTGTATCCGCCGCTGTTTGTGTAAAAATACTTAGCCAGTTTTCCATAAAACGTTAAATGCTGAACGCTTATTTTGCTACTTTTTCGGACTAGTGAAATGGACTCTTAACACGTCTTTATTAGCTTTGTTTTTTATTGTTAAATGAATGAATGAATTGAGTAGTGGTAACGAAGACATTTACGGCCAGTATCTATAAGGTAGAAAAAGTTTAGTAAATTATATCTCATAAACTTAAAGCGGTGTCTTTTGGGTTTGAAATTTTCTTTATTTCTTTAACGAATATCTTCCTTTCTTTTTTTTTCGGTTCTTTTAACGGTTGGGACCGATTATTTCGTGACAAACTACACTAAAAATAAGACTAACTTTCTAAGACAAATAAGCGAGATTTCCCAAAGGGCCAGACCAATATTCTTTCGCTTGTTTGTTGACTTTTGTCAAACGTGCACTGGGTTTTAGCAGCATGTTCGGATGGCAAAGAAAGGGGATATTCGGTTGGTTGAGAGTGCTCTTAACGTTCGTCACATTTTTACGTTATGGTGGCAACGTATTTTTGTCGAAGGTGTGAAAATGTGTTGAATTATACAGGTTGTCTCTTTTTGGTTGCATTCGTTTATTAAGGAGGATCCACATTTAGTAACATGTTATATAACATTGCTATTTAACAAGCTACATATCACATGTTAAAATACCGGGAGCCGTCCACATTATATTTTTTGTAAACATGAATCGTTTTGGCAAGAAAGAGGTTCAGCTCGCAGCAGCGGCGTGCGTAATTTTTTTTTGAAGAAAGAGAAAGAAAATCGAGAAAAAAACGGGTTTGAGTCCGCCATAGCCTATAAGCAAGATCTAGATATAGTTGAACTCAATTTGCTTACGTTTTCAATACCTGCCGCGGCTGTTTCTGGTGATGTGTTTCTGTCTTTAAAAACATTAATAACTTAAAAGCAAACCATTTTGAATTGTCCACTTTATCTAAACCAGTACCTGATTTGCATTTCTTTTGTTCCCTCTGGAACTGGCCTATTAGACAACGCATTTTTTTCTCAACTTTTTTTTTCCAAATACATACTTTTTGCAATTTTTAACCATGCATCATGCTTTTCTTATTTCACTTTAAATGAGGGACTACGGATATCCCATAACACTGTATGATCTATATACAACTTAATTAGTTGACAAGTCTGCTCTTGGCTCTACTCCATTAATAATATACGAACCATACGATCGAAAAAAAAAAATTCGTCAGCGACGGCTATGAAATGAAGATTGCTGTCATTTTATATGGAAAATTATATGGGGAATATCATCGATCGTCATGTCCAAGCCAAGTGGACGAGAGGCCGACTGGACACAGTTTTTTTTTCGATCATACGGACGTTATTATTGACCATACGGTATATTATTAACCAGTAAATAAACAAAGCTCACCACACTAATAACGATTCTGTCGCGCACGTCCCTGAAAATATGAGCGGCTAAATTAGAAATTTAGCAAGTCTGGACGCATTGTTTCATGTTACAATAGCAGTGTTGCACAACATCTTTTGATTTTTACCAACTACAAATGGATAACATCTAGCAAGTTATACCGTGTGCGTCCCAAAAGTGGCTCACCCCTATAACTTTTTTATTTTTTCAGATAAAATAACCAGATTTGGTATTTTAGTATATGACATAAATTGGGATTGATTAACGTATTCAACTGTTTTCGGTCACTTGGCTACAACTTTTGGTTTTTAAATGGCATCCTCGGTATTTTTGTACTTTATTCGATAGAAAATGACACTGAATCGAATGACATATCATATGTCAATTTTTGACATCGTCACTCAAAAACAAATTCTATTTTAAATTTCAATCTAGAGTGCCACGGCTATGTTAAAAACACTAATTTTTCCAAGGAGCCTTGGAAAAATATATTTGATCGTCTAATGTTTTTAGTGTCTTGTCCTGGCCGGTTAAAAGATGCCCAAATCGTATTTTTAATAATATCTCATTGTTTTCAAATGGAACGAGGGTAGCTCATTAGCATATTTGGAAAAAGCATTTTTTTACGAATAATTTGATACCACAGACTTGGTATTTTGAGTCAAATTGTCGTTATGAACCGCATGTTACAATTTCAAATAAACCCTATGCCAAAATGTCAAAAGTTGACATATGATATGTCATATGTCCAAACCAAACCAAACCAAACCAAACCAAACCAAACCCTATGCCAAAATGTCAAAAGTTGACATATGATATGTCAATCGATTCAGAGTGTCATTTTCTATCGAATAAAGTAAAAAAATACCGATGGTGCCATTTAAAACACAAAAGTTGTAGTCATTTCCGGTGAAACCGGAAGTGACCAAAAACAATTAAATACGTCAATCAATCATAATTTATGTCATATACAAACATACCAAATATTGTTGTTTTATCTGAAAAAGTAAAAAAGTTATAGGGGTGAGCCACTTTTGAGACGCACCCGGGATAGCAGCGAAATTTGCTAAATATGACTAAAAAATATGTAACATGTTATATAACTTTGCTATATAGCAGTGTTATATAGCAAGTGTGGACCGTCCTTTAGAATCCTGTTGGTTTTTGTTTTTTACAAATTTGAGCTACTTTTTTTCCAGCTCATGATGTCCCATTTTGGTTGAGATCATACGGTATCTCCGTTTGCACAAACCTGTTCTACTTTTTCGTTAAACGACAGATCGTGTAAATACATTTTCATAGAGCTCTTTGTTTCTGAGCTACAGGGTCTTTTTGAAAAAACAGTTTTTACTTTCTGGAAATCTTACACAATAACAGAGATACGAATAACAGAGGGGTGTCTCAAATTGCAAAAGTAGCTGTAGTTCAACGAAGAAAGCTATGAAAATTTTCTTTACAGCATCTTCCGTTTGATAAAAAAGTGGGACAGTTTGTGCAAGCCGCCTTATCTTCAGTAATAAAACTGAGATACCGTATGATTTCCACCAAAATGGGACACCCTGTACAGAGTAATGTAGAAAATTATTCAAATTCATGTAGAACTATACCGGGTGCCTTTCAAAAGTGGCTCACCCCCTATAAGTTTTTTATTTTTTCAGATAAAAAAACGATATTTGGTTTGTTAATATATGACATAAATTATGATTGATTGACATCAGGGGGGTGGCAGTAAACCGGAAAATTGGAAACAGTTCTGTCGCGGTCCTACCCAGGCAGAAAGCATGGCCTTCTAGACTGTCCTAGACAAAAATCTGAATATTTCTATATGATTTCTGTCAATTTCTGTTGCGGAACATTTTTATGCACGTCGGCGTCCTCTTCTTTTGTCTGTGTGTCACGCATGTGTCACCTCCCGAGGCCTCTGGCAAGGTCGGGCGCCATTTTAATTTTTGCCGTTTTAGATTTGATTGGAAGTTTGTTTATGATATTTCGGCTGAAATTTATAAGTACAAAGATGTTTTTTGATATAAAGTTCCTTGTTAACACTTTAATAAAGTATATATGATATTAATTACATGAAGAATATGATGAAATCGACGTTTCTGCGTGTAGTAGGTATGGGCCATATTATATGTAAAAATAGGTAATATATTAACTGTTTTATATTTTTTAGCTTTAGATCCAAGGATCTTGGGATATTCTTTACCAAGGATTTTTCCGTATCTCTACTTTAAAGACTGATCGGTGATTTTGAGCAATTGAAAGCAAGTTACACAAGGTAAATTATGATTATTGAACTA